CTACACGCGAGGAGAAGGAGATGATGAGTGTGTGGTGTGCCTCTACGTGGACGACATGCTGATCGCGTCAAGGACGAAAGATATCATCGCATCGGTGAAGGCTGGTATCGGGGAAAAGTTCCGGAGCAAGGACCTCGGACGTGCAAGGTTCATTCTCGGGATCAAGATCGACTACAAGATGGAGAACAAGACTCTCAGCATCAACCAAAGAGCATACACCCTGTCAATCATCAAGAAGTTTGGACAAGAGAATGCAAAGCCATGTCTCTCTCCACTGGAACCTGGCGTGCAACTGACCAAGGCGGACGGTCCTGAGAATGAAGATGATAGGGTCAAGATGAAGCTGAAACCTTATCGATCGCTCGTGGGAAGCCTGATGTACCTGGCATGTGGGACGAGACCTGATATCGCCGTTGCTGTCGCAAAGTTGAGCCGTTTTCTCGAGAACCCCGGTCAGAAGCACTGGGACGCTGGCATTCGAGTCGTGAGATACCTGTTGAAGACCAAGGATCTCGGCATCACTTACAATGGACAACTTGGGATGCAGCTTGAAGCCTACTCGGATGCAGATTGGGCCGATAACCGTGACGACAGGCGCTCTGTCAGCGGAATGATGTTGATGGTCTGTGGTGCTCCTGTAGTATGGCATTCGGTTTTCTAGAAGACCGTTGCACTGAGTTCGACCGAAGCTGAGTACATGGCGCTAAGTGAGTGCGTTAAGGAGGTCTTTTGGATACGACTACTACTGAAGACATTGGGGCGGAGCAAGACGGACCTACGAAGATTTACGAAGAGAATCAAAGAGCGATGGCGTTGGCGAAGAATGTCGGCTACCAAGCACGCACCAAGCACATCGACATCCGCTACCATTTCATTCGAGAAAAGATTACAAGTGGTGAGGTGGAGCTCAAGTACGTTGACTCCAAGAATCAGCTCGCTGATTTCCTGACCAAGGGCCTGTCAACGAAGACCCTCCGCTACCTGCTCGAATGCAGCAATGTCACCGACATGCTCGAGTAGACTGCGAATTGAGCGGGGGTGTTGTGATTCTACATTTCGCATCCTATCTGTCGTGGATACCTACCGCGAAGCACGTGCCTGCTGTGGTGTTGTTGAAGGCGCGTGGCTCTCCG